ATTCTGTTCTTTTTTGCCTGGTACTGAAATTAGGCTTACTGGCCTGTAATTGCCACGATCACCTCTGGAATCCTTTAAAAAGTTGGTGTCACATTAGCTATCCACAAGTCATCTGGTCCAGAAGCTGATTTAAGTGATAGGTTACATACCACAGCTAAAACTTAAAGAATTTTTCACTTGACCACAGCTCAAAGAGCCAAGATAGTTCTGCAATTTCATATTTGAGTTCCTCCAGAACTCTTGGGTGAATACCATCTGGTCCTGGTGACTTATCTCTGTTGAATTTATCAATTTGTTCCAGAACCTCCCCTATTGACACCTCAATCTAGGACGGTTCCTCAGATTTGTCACCTAAAAAGAATGGGTCAGGTTTGGGAATCTCCCTCACATCCGCTGCAGTGAAGGCTGATGCAAATTAGCTTCTCTGCAATGACCTTGTCTTCCTTGAGTGCTCCTTTAGCACCTTGATTGTCCAATGGCCCCCCCGATTGTTTGGCAGGCTTCCTGCTTCTGATGTACGTAAAAACTGGTTGCTGTTAGTTTTTGAGCTTTTGCTAGTTGCTCTTCAAATTCTTTTTTGCCCTGCCTAATTATACTTTTACACTTGACTTGCCAGAGTTGATGCTCCTTTCTATTTTCCTCAGTAGGATCTGATTTGTAAGGAGGCCTTTTTGCCTCTAACTGCCTCTTTTACTCTGTTGTTTAGCCATGCTGGTATATTTTTGATACTGTTACTATTTTTTTATGTAGGAGATACATTTAATTTGAGCCTCTATTATGGTGGTGGTGTTTTTTAAAGTTTCGAGGCAGCTTGCAGGCATTTCACTCTCCCTGAGCATTTCACACTCACCATCACCATCCTGGTCAGGTGGTCGGTAATACATCCCTACTGCTATACTCTTATTATTCAAATAATGGAATTTCTATTCATAGATAGGGGTGAGTGGGGGAGATGAGGATGGGTTGGGTAGGTGGGTGCAGGCAGATGGGTGCAGGCAGATGGGGGGAGGACTGAGTCAATAGGAGTGGGTGGTAGGTGAGCAGGGTGGAGTTGGGTGAGGGCGGGGTGGATGGATGGGGCCGGGGCTCGCTGAGTGGCAGCGAGGGAGGGTGGGATGAGGGCTGGGTGCGTGGCAGACAGGGTGACAGGAGTCTGGCAACTCTGCCCCAGCGCAGGGACATCCTCCCCACTGGGGAAGGAAGTGCTGCCAAACCATTGCAATAAGCCGGAGCCCTGCTGGCTTAGTTTGCTGTTGGCCTGGCTGTGTAGGAGTAAGGCAGAGAGATTCTTTTAGGACTGGAGGAGACACAGTGCCTCATGGAATAATGAGCATGGTGTGAGAGCCAGCCAGTCACCCCCAGAAGACAACCATGGGTAGGGGGAATGACCAGTATCTCACACAGCCCCTTCCTCAAAGAGCTATTGGGAGCCATGGGGGAACTGAAGAGGGTGTAAGGGCATCGCAGCTGGGGTGGGGTGAGCATTGGAGGAAATGGAGTTTCACAGAGCTGGCAAGGGAACTAGCATTAGACGGATTTGGGGGCTAACTGGGTTAGAGGGAGAGTAGGTACCAGATTTGGGGGCAAAAGGGTGCTGGGGGAGTGAGTGGGACCAAGGAGAGGGAATAGTAGGTGCCTGGAGGGGCCTGCTGGATCAGTGAGGATTGTGGGTTTGGTGGGGGGGGCCGCAGAGCCTTCCCAAAAGTGGAGGGGACAAGCCCCCCTCCTTGGTCCCGCCCCCGCCCCACCTCTTCCCCCAAAGGCCCCACCCACAGCCAAGCCAGAGCAGGGCTAGGAAGCCTGGGACCCTCTACCTACCCTGGGTGGGGGGGGGGTCCCAAGAGCAGACCCCGGTCTGTGTCCCCACCTCCTGGGTCCCCCGCCCAGGGCAGGTGGAGGGTCTGTGGCCCCCCACAGCTGCCTGCGTGGCTCTTACCCTGACCCAGCTCCAGACGGGGGGCAGGGCCTCAGAGCTGCGCCATGGTAAGATCTGCCCAGTGCAGCTGAAGGGAGCCGCGCACCCTCCACCTGCCCTGGGCGGAGGGCCCGGGGAGCAGGGACACGGGCCAGGGGCAACTCTTGGCCAGCCCCCCCCCCCACCCTGGGCAGGTGGAGGATCCATGGCTCTCCACAGCTGCCCGGGCTCCCGGGGCCCATCTCCAGCTGCTGGCCTGGCCAGGGGGCAGGGCCTCGGTGGGAAGAGTACGAGCAGGAGCGGGGGCCATGGTGATAGGTGGATGGGCCAAGCAGGCTCCAACTTGTGCCAGGGGCTGGGCAAGGCTTGGAATCTGGTGGGTGCAAAGATATCTTAAAACCACCTTTTCCCTCCCGTCTCCCAACTCCTCCAGGGCTGCACCACTCACAACTGAGGCGGGCACCTCTGGCAGCACAGTGCTCCCGGGCCCTTAACTCGGACTCCTCGATTCAGAAGTGATTCAAAAGGAAAAGTGCTACCTAGTGAATGGCCAACACCAGTTCCTAAATCACCTGGGTTTTCCTTAGAGTCCTCCCAACAAAGTACTGTCTTGGTGTCCAACCCTCTAAGCTTATCCGAGCCAGCGAGATGAGTGAGGCAGCTCACTGAGTGGCTAGAACGGACAATTTGGAGTGAGGAGACTTGGTTCTGTTCTGAGTTACTGTGTGAGCTTGGGGCAAGTCTTTTCCCCTCTCTGTGAATTTGTTTCTGTATCTGTAAAATAAGGATCATAAGAATCCTTACCCCTATTTATAGGGCACTTGGAGCTCTTTGGATGAAGAGCATCGTATAGGTGCATAGTATTATAACAGTCAAAGTCTGGTACCATTGTGTCCTCAGTTAGTTGTATTGGGTGATCATCTTCAGACCAACTGTTCTCCCTGGCTGGAATGGATAATAGGAAAGCCCCCTTTATTCCTCAAATCCTGCTGTCCAGAGGCTGGTGATGGTGTTTCTGAACAGTGAGGATTATTGCTGCTTCCTAATAAAAGCAGGATAAGAGCACAGCATCAGCGTCTCAAACATAAATATGGAAATGTTAATTTAGAATCAATTTTGGGATGCTTCAGACTGTTAAGTTCTTTTAACTAGATTTCTGTAGAGGACATAGGAGCTCTTTATGGGACTGTAAATTTCTTGCAAACGGTCTCTGTGAAATACTCGTTCCCTCAACACACTAGTTGTTCTCTCAGTATCAATCATGAGCCTTGCGCGTAATGTTTCACAAATATTCTGTAAATCACTGGGAAAAGCTCATGATGCTGTGAAATACGACTTTCGACAAAGGGCTCCTAACAGGCCGGTCTCCCATCAGCACTAACATTTGTTATGGCTAATAACACTTTCAATCACAACTATTTTGGGAAAACTGATTTATTTTAAACCTTGTCCTCCCTCAAAGGAGATTCTGAATACACTCTGCCAAGGACACAGACTCCTACAAACCACAGACTGTTAATTCCCTAATGAAACGCCAACTCCTCTTAACCCCACAGAATTGTTTCTTTATCCAACTTTCTAGGGTGGTGGGTTTTTTGGTTTTTAAATTTTTTTAATACACTTAACTACAGAGCATTTCACCTTTAGGTCATTGGTTTCCATCTTGCCCAGGCAGTAGTGACAGAAAGTGACCATTGGGCAGCCATCTGGTGCCTTTTGTGAAATGGATTTGGAATCTCAGTCAAGTTCCTAGTAGACAAGTGCTAGGCACTTTACAGATAGGAAATAGGCATGGACCCAAAACGGACCTAATCGATTTAAACTAAACTGAAAGAAGCCCTGAAATAAGTGTCCAGACAGGGGGTTGCATTGGTTTAACTAATTTGCTTTTAAATGACACCTTAAATTAAACCAATGCAACTTTCTCACTTAGACAAGGCTTCAGTCTCAGCAAAGGGGCCAAGAACTGCAAGAGGCAAAGTCTGAACTCTCTGTCATCCACACAGATGAAGCATGTTGACAGGGCTGTGTGGAGAGAAGCTTGCAGTATTGCTGCCTGTGTTGTACCTCCTTTGGATCCGATTTAGGGTGACCAGATGTCCCGATTTTATAGGGACAGTCCCGATTTTGGGGTCTTTTTCTTATATAGGCTCCTATTGCCCCCCACCCCCGTCCTGATTTTTCACAGTTGCTGTCTGGTCACCCTACTCCAATTCTACAAACACCCATGCACGTGCTTAACTTTAAGCCCCACATTGGGACTACTCACAAGCTTAAAGTTAAGCATGTGTATTTGCAAGATTGGGACCTATGTGATTAAACCATCTTTAGCTTCCAGAGCTGTCAATCTGCACTTTTTACCAGAACTAATTACACCACAAAGGGGGGAGGGGGAGACAGAGAGTGCCCAAATATGTCAAAGAAATTTGGCAAAATGGGGATCACTGTCACAGGGTCAGTTGGGGTTTTCTGTAGCTGCCCTATTCCTTGGATTATTATTTCATTTCCCCCCTGAGTTTATTTAAAAATGTGCCATTGAAAGCTCTCTGCACTCGAAGAGAAATTAAATAATAAGACTTGAACTAGGACAAAAAGGTTCAAAATGCAAAAGCTTCCCAAATCCACATCGTCAAGGTCCTGTGCATCTCTGCTCTTATTTCATCCTACTTACCCTCTGGCAGGGCCTGGCATAGGATCAAGTATCCATCCTGGGAAGCTAGCAAGAATCTGAGATTAAGAACATTTGCAACGTTAAAGTGCTTTATTCATATCTGGGAGGGAGACTGCTCTTGTGAAGATGATCTTGTGGTTCAAGCAGGAGATCTGGCTTCTAATCCCAGCTCTGCCACAGATTTACCATGTGGCCTTGGGTAAATCAGTTAATCTCTTTATGTCTCAGTTTCTCCAGATGTAAAATGGAGATAGCAATGGGAATAAAGGAAGATAAGATTACATTAATCAATGTTTGTCAAGTGCTTTGTGATCCTTAGCTGGAAAGTATAATTAGTGCTGGTGTTACTCATTTGTACAGCCGACATTTATCTTTAAGCGTTTCTATAACCTCCCTCTCTCCCCTATAGGACAGTATTGATCATGACTTCCACAAAGGAGCAGGCAGCCATCAGCAGACTGATGGGGTTCTTGCAGGAATGGGACAATGCTAGCAAAGCTGCTCGTAGCCACATACTGGATAATTTCATTAAGGCAAATCAAGGAAAGACGGGGCCAGAGTTGGAGCTGGAATTCTCACAGGGAGCCAGCTTGTTTCTGGCCCGCCTAACATCCTGGCTGAGGCTGACGTATCTACTTCCTCGGGATGCCAGCGGAGGTGGTGGGGTGATCGAGGGGAAGATTCTCTCCCAAACCTTCTTTTCCCCAATACGATTTAAGCTAGCCCCTCTCTGTGGAAATACCTGAGTCCAGCTAAGTTGTTCAGGGAGAAGAGCCCAGCCAGGAAAGCTGGAATCTGAGGGAAGTTCCACACCAAGGGTATTATTGAGTTGCTCTGCAAGATTCCCCTTGTTTTCTCCGTCCCCTCTCATAGGTCCTACATCAGGACATCCCATCCTTCTAGCTGAGGACAAAATGTAAGCTCCCTGCCAAGCCCATCAATGCCACAGGCACCCACTTCACACCCACTCTGGGGATGAGTATGCTGCCTCCTTAGTGGCTTGCAACCCAGCTGGCCTGGAAAATTAAGGCCTGTGCCCTTTCCCAAAGACAGGTTCCCCAGGTGCAGTGCCACACATTGCCATCAAGCTACCAGCCAGACCAGCTTTAATGTGAAAAATTGTCTCAGTATTTGCTCCTTAACATTGTCAAACAGCTACATGTATGGAATATACCTAGATCAGCAGCTAAAGTCCATTGGCATCTTTCTGTCAGCTGCAAGTAGGTGAGTACTATTGTGTCACTTCAACAAGAATTGTTTGGGGGGTTTTAACATCCCAGAGTTGTGCCAGCCCAGGGTGAGGGGGGCCGGTATTAATATTTTACTACAGGGATGGTCTGGGAAAGGGCAACAGAGGCAACTGTCCATGATCTGCGCTTTTGAGCACCCTGCTGTCAGCATGTATCCATAACTGGGCAAGCCTCTCCTCTCTCCTCTGCAGCTCTCTGGATCCCCACAGTCTGTGAGCCTCCTTCATGCCTGGAGACTCCCACACACACTCTTAGTAGGTTGTGCAGTTGGACCTGTTTTGAATTGTGTCCCCTGTTTGGGGAGGTCAGATACCATGGTGATGAGCACTCTGTAGAAATAGATAAATCAGTCATGGGCAGGTGGGAGGTGCTGCATATGTTACTTCACACAAGGCTGGGCAAAGCCAAGACTCTTTGTGCTTCCCAAGAATACTGTAAATATTTTATGATGTTGCCCATGCTATGCAATTGCTCAGTGAGTCCCTCATGTTTCCCAGGAGCGGTCTGATTAGTTAGGGATCTGATGAGCACCCTGTGTATGGAGACCCAAGTTCTGTGTGCATGGAGGTCAGTATCCAAATGTGGACACTCAGAGGTAAATATCTCACCTGGTAGCCTATTGGGAGCACATCATACTGCCAGGTGAGGCATTCACATTTGGGTTCCAAGTCAAGCTTCTAGTACCTGTCCTCTCTGTCCAGGAGCTTAGACACAAACTGAGGCAAGGCGGTAGGAAGAAGGTTCCCAGGAATATGGAGATCCGAGGAAGGAAGATTTTGTTCAAAGTGTTACATTTTCTGCTCCTCTCTGTAGCCACAGGTATCTTATTGAATTTCTGGAGGTTGGAGGTGTCCTGACGCTCCTGGAAATACTAGGGCTGCAGCAACTGAAAGAAGAGGACAAAAGGGAGTCGATAAAGCTACTCCAACTCGTAGCAAACGCTGGCAGGAAATATAAGGAGCTCATTTGTGAAAGTTATGGTAAGTGCCGTGCCGTCCCTGTTCTTTATCAATGGAATGGGCTTACCTCCATTTAGGCAAGTCTGTACTCGCTGACCGCCAAACGTCAAGGGCTCCTTACGGAACCGAACCTGTTCCTTTCACTCTACGAGAGTCTTAGCGACGGAAGATGAGTTTAGTACTTTTCTTGTTGAAAGGAGTTCAGCGTCTCAGCCATTGCTGAGTGGTTACATTTCATCCCCCTTCTCATTTTTAATGAGCCTCCTTTTTGTACAGAATTTTTCCTTTGATGTATTCCAGCAGTCAGGCTGGTTGCAACTGCGATGGCTAAGGTTGCAAAAGAGTTTCCATTATAACCTGCTGTGATCACCCACTGCTACCTCTCCAAACCTTCCCTCTGGGGGCTAAAGTTTTCTCTGATTGGTATCTATTGAAAAATCAGGAATTTTTCTGAAAAGGGAAAGCTAGATCTCTTCAGATGTTTTTGAAGACTGGAAAAAAATAAATGCTTTTTCCATTGTAAAGGGGAACCCATCACTATAATCAGTGACAGATGCTCAAGGTTTGAACAACTTCCTCAGCAGTGAGATGAGTGTGATGGAATCAGGAAAGTGAGACTCAGTATGCACCATTTACCTTCTGGGGACAGATTCTTTATTGGTGTAAATGCATGTAGTTCAATTGACTTCAGCAGCATTTTGCCCTTCTAGACCAGCTGAGAATTTGGCCCATTATATTTTAAAATCAGCGTAATAGCTACTGACAAAGATTATTCCCCATCTCTACCTCTCCAGCAGCAGTGATTAAAATGGGACAGTGGTTTTGATCAGGGCCGGCTCTGGCTTTTTCGCCGCCCCAGGCGAAAAAGCCTCCGGCCGGAGCCCCGAGGGGAGGGCAGTGAGCCCCGGCGGGGCTCCGCTCTCCCCCGGCGGCCGGAGGCAGGGCGCCGGGGGGGAGGGCGGCCGGAGCCCTGGGAGGAGGGCGGCGGGG